TTTGCAGGGGTGGACCCTACAGGCAATCGCCATCGCCATCGCCAAGCAGCAAAGCAGCTGGCATGCGTGGCGCACATCTTGAACTTTGATCCCGCAACATAAACACCGCCGCAGAGCTGGAAGATGCGATAAAAAGGCCAACCCTTCTTTCGCACGCATAATGTCTGCGGCAGATCGGCAGGATTCATTTGCCCCTGCATCTTCCTCATCGTACTCGTCCGCATTCCCGCAACGCTTGCCCCCGTCCGACGACCCAGACGAGCTCGACTTTCTGGGGGACCATGATGACGACGATGTCGCCGATGACGGCCACGTACTCGACGACGACCCAATCCATCACGACGAATTTACAACACCCATCTCATTCAAGCGAAAGTCGAAACCCTCGCTCTTCGCCAGCCCTGTCCGACTGCTCTCGGCGCTGACCCGCGGCGGCGATGGCGGCGGCGAGAGCAGCAGCAGCAGTAGGACGCCGCCGCGCACGCCCGTGACCCTTCCGACAACAACAGCGACGTCGTTGTCGCCCCGGCGGCCGGGTGCCTCTAGCAACGGGGTCTTTAATAAGGACGGGGCCGCCGCACTGGACTGGCACGTCGAGGGGCCCGGGCGCCGCGTCGCCTACGACGACCTGACGGCGATTGACTGGATCTTCGAGTACACCAAGGAGCGGCAGCGGCTGCGCGTGTTGACGGCCAACACGAGCGGGCTCGCGGGCTCGGTGCGCAAGCTGCTTGACGCGAGTCAGGTCTGGGTCGTCATGATCCTGACGGGGCTGGCTGTCGGCGCCGTGGCCGCCCTCATCAACATCACGGCCGACTGGCTCGGCGACCTTAAGCTCGGCTACTGCGCGAGCGGGCCCGAAGGCGGCCACTTTTACCTCAACAAGAGCTTCTGCTGCTACGGCTACGACCAGGGCTCCAAGTGCACCGGCTGGCGCTCCTGGGGCGAGGCGCTGGGAGTGCATGCCCTGGCTGGGCGGTGGATCATAGAGTATATATTCTACCTGTTCCTGTCGGTACGTGTGTCGCGAGCGAGTGACACATGATTCTTTGAAAAAGCTTTTTTTCTCGTCTAACTGCGAGCTACAGATTTTATTCGCAATTTCCGCTGCTGTGCTGGTGCAAGAATATTCGCTGCATGCCAAACACAGCGGTATCCCGGAAATCAAGACGATTCTCGGCGGCTTTGTCATCCGCCGCCTGCTCGGCGCCTGGACACTCGTCGCAAAGTCGTTGGGCCTCATCCTAGCAGTGGCTTCCGGAATGTGGCTCGGAAAGGAGGGACCGCTGGTCCATGTGGCCTGCTGCTGCGCCAACCTCTTTACGAAGCTATTCCACAACATCAACGGAAACGAGGCGCGCAAGAGGGAAGTGCTGTCCGCGGCGGCGGCGGCCGGCATATCCGTCGCATTCGGCTCTCCGATTGGCGGCGTCTTGTTTAGCTTGGAGCAGCTGTCCTACTACTTTCCCGACAAGACCATGTGGCAGAGCTTCGTCTGCGCCATGACGGCCGCCGTGTCGCTGCAAGCCTTTGACCCCCTCCGGTCCGGAAAGCTGGTTCTGTACCAGACCAAATACAGTCGCGACTGGCACGGCTTCGAAATCTTTCCCTATGCCATTCTTGGCATCATAGGAGTACGTTGCCCGCCACTTCTCCCCTCCCCGTGTTCCACATACAAAAGAATCTCCCCCGTACTGACGATTCGTTAGGGCGTCTATGGCGGGCTGTTTATCAAGACCAACATGATGGTCGCGCGCTGGAAAAAGGCCAACAGCTGGCTGCCCGGGCCCATTGTCCAAGTGCTGGCCGTGGCCCTGCTCACCGCGCTCATCAACTTCCCCAATCACTACATGAAGGTGCAGTCGACCGAGCTCGTGTCCAACCTGTTCCAGGAGTGCTCGCAGGTGCTCGATGACCCGGTTGGCCTCTGCAAGACGGGCGCCGCGTCCGCCAGCACCATTGTGCTGCTCCTCTTTGCCGCGCTGCTCGGCTTCTTCCTCGCCGCCGTCAGCTTCGGGCTGCAGATTCCCGCCGGCATTATCCTACCCTCAATGGCCATTGGCGCGCTCGTCGGCCGCGCCGTCGGCATCGTCATGGAGCTCTGGGTCGACAGCCGCCGCGGTTCGCTCCTCTTCCAGACGTGCGCGCCCGATGTGCCCTGCGTCACGCCGGGCACCTACGCCATCATTGGCGCCGCTGCCGCCCTCGCCGGCGTCACCCGCATGACTGTATCCATCGTTGTCATCATGTTCGAGCTCACCGGCGCCCTCACCTACGTCCTCCCCATCATGGTCGCCGTCATGATCTCCAAATGGGTTGGCGACGCCTTTTCCCGCCGCGGCATCTACGAGTCCTGGATTCACTTCAACGAGTACCCCTATCTCGACAACAGCGAGGAGGTGGTCGTGCCCGACGTGCCCGCCGCCCAGATCATGACGCGCATCGAGGACCTCGTCGTCCTCACCGCCACCGGCCACACCATCGCCTCCCTCAACGATGTCCTCGCCGCCCATCCTTGCCGTGGCTTCCCCGTCATCTCCGACCCCCGTGACGCCATTCTCCTCGGCTACATATCCCGCGCCGAGCTCAGCTACAACATCCACACCGCCTCGGCTCCGCCGCGCTCCCTGCCGCCGCTCACCGAGGCCTTTTTTGCCCACCAGCCGCTCGCCGACCCCCGCACCACCCTCGACCTCCGACCCTGGATGGACCAGACGCCCCTCACCTTGCCCTCGCGCACTAATTTGCAGCTCGTCGTCTCCTACTTTCAGAAGCTCGGCCTGCGCTACGTGCTCTTTAGCGACCGCGGCGTTCTCCAGGGCCTGCTCACGAAAAAGGACGTCTGGTACGTGCTCAACGGCGCCGACGAGACGCGTCGCACGACGGCGGCGGCGGACGCCGCGTCCGCTTCCCACACTGGTCCTACGGGGAGAGGCGCAGCAGCGACGTCGGGACCAGATGAGGCGTTGCTGGTGTCCGACGATGAAGGGGACGACGATGGTGCGGCTGGTTCTCGTAGTCCAATGCTCTAGAACCGTGCACTCGAATGAAGAAGGGGAGGGGCAATATCGAAACGTGACCGGTGGGAGATATATGTATATGTTGTGTTGATTTGTAGTTGCTATACTACGACATGACCTTTACTTTATTACATGCGCTGATAAACATGATAAACACTTGATTTTCTTCAACAATCATGTAGACGAGACGTTTGGACAACCGTTACCAAATAATGATTAAAATCGCAAGCTAATCCATACGCCATACTGCAACACTATGCCACAACAACCAAACAACCTCCATTCCTTTGCTCAATACTCAAAGTCGTCATCCACAGCCGGCCCCTTATTCTTGGTCACGCTCTCCTGCTTGCGGTACATTTCCGCCACCTGCCTGCTCGACGTCGCCTCATCGGGCTTCTTGTCGTCGCGAATCTTGATGAACCGCGGAAAGCGCAGGCTGATGCCCTTGCCGCCGGCCGGGTCGACGCCCTCCTTGCAGCCGGCCTTGTAGCGCGGGCTGAGGGTGAGGTCGGCCGTCTTGACCTCCCAGACGTGCTGGGGCTCGAACCAGACGTCGGGCTGGTGCTGGTTGCCGGCCGAGTGCGCGTAAAAGGGCTTGGGCCGGTCAATGACGAGGGCGGACAGGGACGCGTGCAGCTCCTCGAGGACCTGCTCCGAGAAGCCCGTGCCAATGTTGCACACCGTCTCGTACGTGTCCGAGTTTGGGTTGTAGCAGGCGAGCAGAAAGGCGCCGTAGACGGATGTGCGCTTGCCGCGGCCGTAGTATGCGCCCAGGACGACAAGGTCTAGGGAGTCGCCGACGCCGGAGAGGTAATCCTTCTTGATCTGCAAACATGGTCAGCATTGCGGGAAGGTCAAGGCAGATCCAAGAGTGGGTAGTCAGCATACCTTGAGCCAGTTTCGACTTCTCTTACTTGGCTCATATCCGCTCTCTGTGCCGTCCAACATCTTCACCATGAGACCTTCACAGGAAGCCTTTACACTTTCGTCCAGAAAGACTTGAATGTCGTCAAGCTCCTGGCCGTCCATGGAAGTGGCGAGAGCAAATTCGCCTTCCACGGGTGCAAATGCCTGTCGAAGAAGCTCTCTTCGCTCTCGCAGTGGCTTTTCCACAACAGGCTGGCCATTCAGATACAGCAGATCAAAAGCAAAAACGCAGACTTTAACCTTGACGTCCTCCACTTTGACGTCCTTTTTCTTTCTCGTCATGAGCTGCTGAAACGGCAGCACCGTCTTTTCCACCATGTCCCACGCGACAGTCTCGCAATCGAGCACGAAGCTCTTGGTGTCATCCTTGACCCAGCTGTGCAACTTGGCGAGAATATCAGGATACTTTTTCGACAAGTCTTCCGAATTGCGAGAAAAGATGCTGGCTACTCCCTTCGCGGCTGCTTTGTTGGCGCCCGGTGCAGCCTGGCTGAGCTCCTGAGGGGCATCCTCGGCGACGTAGTGGATTTGGGCACGCTCGCCGTCGTACTTGTATTCACATGTAAAGGTCTGGCCCTCAAAACGATCCAATACCTCGGTGATGGCTTTAGTAGGCTTGGCCAACATGGGCTTCAATGGTACACCTGGCTGTAGTTTGCAATGGTCGCGCAGATTAAGAATACCGTGAGAGAGCATGGCAGGGATGATGACGTCGTAACTGGGAAGTTCGCTGGTATGCTGTTAGGTTTCGCAGGTAAAAGATGACAACAAAATGAGTCTCACCTATAGACCGTTTTGAGGATACTCTCGCCCTTTTCCATGTCTGACGTGCTTGGCACCTTTCCACGCTGGTCGGCTTCATGGCAGACGACAGCCTGTGCCAGAGAGACTAGAACAGTCTTTTCCGCCAGGCCCAGCCGAAGCTTACCCTCGAGAAATCGAATAATGTACTTGGCCTCGCTGGCGCCGCCTTTGTCTTTTGTAATGTCCACCTTGCCAGTATTGTGGGCATCGGAGGCAGAGAGAAGCTTCTTGATGCCGTCAACCTTGCGGCCTTGCGCTCCATTTCCACTGACCGTGGCAATTCCCATCAGGCCCTGATGGACACCACGAACCGTCAATGGCTTCGGCTTGAACATGGTTGGTTGTGTGGATCTGCTCTTCAGCGCGACAAGGCCGAGATCACCAATATCTTTTTGGTCGGCCTTGATGACTTGCAGGCTTCGCCCAGTCGACTCACCAATGGCCTTCATGATTAGCGACTCGCCGATACCGAGTTCGATACCAGCATAGTCGGGAGCAAGCTTGTTGATCATGAGTAACACTGTCGGAAGTAGGTCGTCGGGTGTCAGGCGCATGACTTGGCGCAGGAACAAGGCACAATGTTCCATGATAATCAATCGCTTGGTGGTCATTTCAATGAGAGAAAACGTCGTGCACAAAGCGGCGTATGGAACGGGAGCTCCCGGCTTCCAGTCAGGGTATGGGTCCTTGGTCTTTGAGTTGAGTTTCGTTTGAGCTAGCTTACGCGCCTTGGCGGCAACTTCGGGCTTCTCTTCCATGTCTGAGCCGGATTCAGCGGCGGCCTCTTCCTTGAACTCCTGGTCGGTACCCTTTTCCTTCTTTACGGATGGTTCGGGGCTGGACTCAGCAGAAGATTCGACCTTTGTCGGTGAGTCCATCTGTTCTTCCTTCTTGATTGGTTCTGTGGTGGGAATTATTTCCCCGTCATCGCTCTCAATCTTGACTCGCCTGCGTCGTGGCCGCTTTGCGACTGGAGCGCTGTCTTCGTCATCTTCCTTTTTCACCGAAGCTTTTTTGGAGTCGTCATTTGTGCCTGATCGGATGCGCTTCTTCGAATCTCGGGGCACGTTAGCATTGCCGCTCGTGAATGGCGGTCCGCAGAAGTCACGCACCTGAGCCCGGGTCTGTATTCTCTTTTGTACTTGAGCTATCATCGGCAGCTGCTGCCTCAGTCTTGGGCTTTGTTGAGAAAGCAAGCTTGGATTGCCGAGCTGGTCCGTCCGACTTGGACCCGAAAAACTTGCTGTACAGAGCAATTGTTCGTTAGCTTCGCCCACCATGAGGCAGACATGGGCTCTAGTGGGAGAAACGCACCCAATTAATGTCTGAGAAGGCTGAACATACCCCAAAGTGGCCTGCTTCGGCGCCATGGTGCCGATTGTTGGGGCGTGTGCGCGTTGGAGCACCCAGGCGGCGAGGTTATTCTGGCGCAGCACCAATCGTCCCAGAGCTCTGCTGGAAGCCACCGTGAAGGATCGGTAATGTGACAGGCTTAGTGATGACAAGAGTTTACCACTGGCGGCGCGGGAGGCTGCTTGTAGCGATCTGTGATTTGAGCGGCCCCTGCAAGTACTAGATGTAGGACTTGGGTGTTGAGGATGATGGGCAATTGAATAGTAGTAGCTGTGACTTTTATCGCGAAGCACCGTTGATGCGACGCGCTGGCTGTGTCGCTGCATTCGGAGGCTAGTCTAGGCAGAACCGCGTTAAGTGGGCGTTGTGACGCGCTAGCTGGCGGTGCAGGATTCGCGACCTACGCGAACAACACGTGACTCGCAGTATTATTTATAGGCAGCAATGTGTATAATTATAAATCCTCGCGTACAAAATAATTGCTCAGAAATTTGGGGGATAAGCATGATTAATAGGTTTCTTTGCGCGGCGAGAACCTGCGTTGTCTGACGACAAGTAGGCTAGGTGGCGTGCATCTGAAATGAAAGCGCTCTAATATATTGTCTTGGCGACGAATCTAACATTGGCCCTTAGTGTCTTCTGGGAGAAACAAGAAAAAAAGCAATCGAATGCTTGAAAGAAAGTTTCAATTCTCTTAGCTGACTCGGCTGTATTTTGGCGAACCACGCAAGACAACCGAAGCAGCGCTCACGAATCTGCAAAAAAGGTGATGTTGTTCCGGATCTCATACCATGAGCCAATGTGCCGCAGACGTATGCGACAGTAATGTCATAAACGCACCTCACGACAAGGCAAATTCCCGAGCTATATACTCTTCTCAGGGTCGCTATTCTGAGAATATGAAGCGCAAATTTTGGCGGCGCTAGAGAATGTATTCGTGTGTAGTAGCTAGCCTCGGAGTTTCGGCGCAAATTCACATGCATTCAGGCCGAATGTCGAAACAACATTGTTCATTTCGAAATGTGAACCTCCTGTACACTCTAACCAGAACGAGTTATTGTACAAAAAGGCATCTAACTTGAGTAATTCATTAGAGTAACGCAATGTAAAACAATGACAACTGGCAACAACAGAAAGAAGAACAAGGGCCATCCCCGAAAGAGAAGAGACATAAGTTTTTACAACGCCCCGGCTTTCTTCCTCGTCACCTTCCCCCTCTAAATAATATATCAGCTACAACTGGAGAGAATTCCCTAGTTGAAGTAGTAGTTCTCGTCGTTGGTGCGACCGCGGATGTACTGGGGCTCAGAGCCGGGAACGTAAATGTCCTCAAACAGAATCTGGGGTTTGGCCTCGGGGACAACCATCTCCTCGGCGGCGGCGACCTCGGTGGCGACGTGGCTGCGGGCCTCCTTGTCAATCTTCTTGAGCTCGTCCTCGGTGGTAATCTTCCAGTCGAGAATCTTGTGCTTGAGGCCGGCAATGGGGTCGTTAGTGGAGCGCATGCGCTGAATCTCCTCACGGGTACGGTAGGTCGTGCCGGGGTCCGACATGGAGTGGCCACCGTAGCGGTAGGTGACGTATTCGAGGACCATTGGGCCCTTGCCCGACGTCGTCCACTCCTTGCCGTACTTGACGGCGGCCTTGACGGCGAGTACGTCCATGCCGTTAACCTTGAGGCCGGGAATATACTGTCCGCGCTTGTAGTAGTCGGTCAAGGCCGACGAACGCGCAGCAGAGGTACCCATACCGTATTTGTTATCTGAGCAGGTTAGCAGACTGCTCAAACTTGGGGAAGCTACGATATTGACTTACTCTCGCAACCGAAAAGGGCAGGGAGGTTCCAGAGCTTGGCCATGTTGAATGCCTCGAAGACCTGGCCCTGGTTGGAGGCACCGTCACCGTAGAGGATGACGGAGGCGTTCTTGTTCTCCTTGTACTTGTGGGCGAATGCCAGACCGGCACCGACGGGGACCTGGGCGCCAACGATACCGTTGCCGCCGAAGAAACCCTTGGAGAACATGTGCATGGAGCCGCCCTTGCCGTAAGCAATGCCCTCACGGCGGCCCAGGAGCTCGCCGATGATGGAGCGGACGCTACCGCCGCGCATGAGGGCGAAGCCGTGACAGCGATAGGCGGTGATGATATCATCCTCCTTGGTAAGGGCGTGCTCGATACCAGTAGCGACGGCCTCCTGGCCGGTGGACAGGTGGCAGAAACCACGAATCTTCTTCTCCTTGTACAGACGGTCGGCGGCCATTTCCATTTGTCTGGGGTATCCTCAATTAGCATCATTCGTGCATGGATGCTCGCGGGCGGATTGGTAGACAATCATGTGTGCATGGATTCGCCGCGCTAGCATGTGTCGTGCCGCGTCATACCTGATGCTAACCATGTCGTAGTACATCTGCTTCAGTTCCTTCTTGGACACCTCGATGGTGTAGGGAGGAGGGTCAAGCTCATACGTCTCGAAGCTCTCGTCGGACAGGTTGACGAGGAAATGCTCGTCCTCGGACTATTTGAGGAGAAAAAGAATCCACGTTAGCTCTTCTGTCATGCTCGATTGGCGTGGTTTTGCCTCGTCAACACCATGCTGCCGACAGATATCCCCCGTCTCCAATTTTGCCGCCCCAAAGCAGAGCACAATAAAACCCTCACAGCCCAATCCAATTCGACATCCATCAAAACAATGCTGAAACGGCAACAGATAAGCTGCGTACCTCGGGAACATCGGTGCTTAGAGACGCAGAGGCCGCATCGGTAGTGACAGAGCGAGCGGCAGCGACGGCGCCCAGGCGAATGGGAGCAGCAGCGACGGCAGCCCTGCGGAGCGCCACGCGAGGGGCGGAAACGGCTCTGGAGAACATCGTTTGGAGCAAACAAGCCAAAGAGCGACTTGAGGAAGAAACGATGTGCAAAGGAAGAAGTGTGGGGAAAGAGAAAAGGAATTGAGGTATGAGAGGGGGAAAAGGTGCAGCAAGTTGCCCACGCTGTACTGTAGAGCTGCGAAATTTCACGCTTGGTTGAGCGTTGAGAGCTGCTGTTGGTCCCTTGCTAGCCCAGAGTGGATTAGTGCGCTTGTCACGTGAAGCGGTATTTGTAGCCATTTAGCTCCACCAGCACGGCGGAATGCCTGAGAGAAAAACTCCCCTGACCCTCCGGTGGGCTCCGGGCGTCAGACAGTCAGAACCCGCCCGCCATATTTCGTCTGATGGCGGGCCGCAATTTGGCTGGCTGTGATATATTGTGGGGCCACCTTGTGAGGTAACATTCGCCATCGACCATCATCTTCTCAACACGTCAAGTCGACATTCTTGTGATCACCGAGTCAATTGAGTTTAATTCTATCCCTAACCTTCCCGGGTATGTAATAAGATATCTTTCTTTCTGTCTGCTGCACAGTGACGGCAGCCAATGGTATAATCCACTGTCGATATCACTAGAGTCCAAAATTTGAGTTCGGGGCGCCTATTGTATGCAGTGTCCCAAGCCTGGCCCAAATGCAAATATTTCCCCAAAAATGCATATCATGGTAAACAACGCTGAAATCATGAGCGTCCCAAAAAATAACCATCACCATGGTCTATGTCTCCTGTTGTTCCTAAATTATACAACCGCGCGCCGTGCCCGATATAATCAATTTCCGCCCGCTGCGCTGATAGCGAGATGAAGCCCAGCCTCATAGAGATGCCGGTATGATGAAGTAATCAGAAGCTTGACAGGTTCTGACTTGCAGCGCTTTGGCTTCCAGTGCCGGCAGCGAGCTCCTGCCGACGGTTAATACTGAGGAATCCATGCCGCAACTTCACTGTCCCGTCTCGCCCAGAGACAGGTCTGGCTGCTGCGGTACGTCTGCGTCTAGGGCCAAGGCTGCCGATGGTGTTGCGTCTTCCATATCCACATCTTGGCTCAGTGATGCTTGACTCGAGCCGCCTGTGATTGATTCCATATCATGATATCCAAAGCCCATAGCACTGAGGGGGCGATCGGGGTCATCTTGCAGCACACGATGATGCAGAGACAACGGTCGATCATACAACATCTCCTCGGGCGGAGCAAATGACCAAACTTCCATTACAGTGCGACCATTGCGCAATGCCAACGCGACGCACTTTTCCTCCTCAAAAGCAACTCGCCACACGGCGTCACCTTGAGATATCAGTTCGCGCACGAGGTGGCCAGTCTTTAGGTCCCAAATCTTGACGCGACCGTCGCTACCACCACTGACAACTCGGGTGTCATCAAACTGCAAGCTCGTGACGCTATTGTCATGTGCCGCCAACCTGTGAATGGGGCACATTCTCTCCAGCGACCAGACTCTGACGGACCCGTCTGAGCCACCAGTCACCAATGTGTCTCCGCGCATTTGTAGTTGGCCGACGAGGGAAGTGTGACCCTGGAGAATGGCAAGACATTCGCCGCTTCTGGGATCCCATACACGAACGTTGGTGTCAAGACTTCCCGTCACGACTCGCTTGCCGTCAAAGGCAATGGCGTAAATCTGGCTAAAGTGACCCTGCAGGGTCTGCAAGCAGCGTCCCTCCGAGATGCTCCAAACACGGGCGAATGTATCGTAGCTACCAGACACAACAATGTCTCCCTTGATTTCGAGACAACGGACGCTTGACTGGTGTCCTAGGAGCACATTGCGGCACAATCCTGTCCTAATATCCCAAATTCTGAGCGTAGTATCGCGAGAGCCAGAGATTGCTGTGTGCTCGTCGGCCATTTTAAGACATCGGACAGTAGAGGTGTGCCCCCGTAGAGTGTGCAGACAGGCACTGTCATGGTTAGCTTGGGAGACCACACTGGCAAGCACAGGGCTCCAACTCACCCGGTCTTAAGGTTCCACACACGAACATCTCTATCACAGCCACCGCTGACCATTGTGTCGCCCCAGGGAACCATGGCCCAGACGCCCATGACATGGCCCTGAAGCGTTCGCTGGGAGTTGCCTTCCGTGTCGAAGACGTGTATTTTGGCATTGTCAAGAGCAACGATGATGTATTTCGGGGTGAGGTGAAGGCTAGTGACGACGCCTCCTTCTTGTGTTATATTTTTGACTGTGCTTGTGCCGCCAGACCGCCAAGCAGCTTCGACGAGATAGCGCTGCTTGAAGTGCGATTTATAGGTTCTCAACTTGGGTCGGCTGGGGCTCCCGTCCATGCTACGTGAGCCAGCATGATGAGCCATGAGTGGCATGGCGGCGGTGAAGCTGTTGGCTACTTCGGAGTCGGTCGCAGGCATGTGAGCGGTAGGTCGAGCTGGGACAGCTGAGGCGGCGTATACTTCGGATAGTCGTCTTCCATAGTCGTGCTTGACACAGAGATTTTTCCACGTCATGTCGTCGCTGAGCAAATCACGCCATCGTTTGGAGACTTGGGAGGCTCGAGCTAATACCTTGGGGTCGTCGATGAAGGACAATATCTATTGCGGCAGCGTCAGAGACTGGTGGAGAGTGGTGGTGGAATCATTGTGCGTGCATACTCTCAAGCACAGCTCATCAGGAAGACTTGTGAAGGGGTCCTTTTTTAGTAGAGGGCTGACAAATTGATGCACAAAGCTCAGTTGTTGGCTGGTGCACAAGTTGAGTAGGTCGGCAAGAACTCTTGTGCGCTGGGGACCGGAACAGTTTTTAAAGTGTTGCCGAACCTTGGCGAGGAAGAAGTCCTCATCGTCGGCGGCATCACTCCAGTCGGGTTGGTAATGTGAAGGACCAGGCGAGGCGGCTGGAGTAGGCGGCGGCGGCGGCGAGCCGGTGAGTTGCTGATCAAAGTCGGCAGCAGGAGTGGACATGCTGGGCGTGGGTGGCCCATTAAGCTGCCGTTGCTTGGGCTTTTTTTCCTCGACGTGATCCATGTCTGTATCAGAGGCAGTATTCAGTATCAGCTCTTCTGTCAAGAGGCTCCCTCTCCTCTCGGAGAAGCCGACAGGTTTCTTGTATCCGGTCATTGGATGCCGGGGAGGGGACCGAGGGAGTCGCAGCTGAGCGAGAGGGCGAGAGGGCGCTTAAATGGGATCTCGGAGAGAAGAATGGCCGTGGAAAGAAGAAGAGATGATGAATCGTGGTTTGGTGTTCAGCTAAGGCGGCGAGGAGGGTGTTGGAGATTCGAGCGAGGGATGGGTAGATGGTGGCCGAGGAGAGAGCGAGCGAGCGGGCCGGCCGAGTCAGGCTTTTTGCATAGGTACAGAGTCAGTAGGAGGACAGCGCCGGTCAGAGCGAGAAAGGAGAATCGAGGCTGAGACCGCAGGACAAGCAACGTCGTTTGGGTATTGGGCCGAAGGAGCGTTGGGCGGTAAGAGGAGGGAGGGTAGGGGCAACAAGGCAAAAGAGAGGAAGAAGGGTGTCGACAGTTGGCGGGTTTCGGTTGATGCAGCCATCGAGGGAACCGGCAGTAGCCCAAGTGGGCGCTGGGCGCTGACAACTGTTAGTGCTACCGACTTGCTAGCGCGGGTAGGTAGGTATGAGATGTAACACTGCTGGCGGGAAGAGGACAAGGCGTCTTTGTTTTATATCATCTATAGACTATCGCTGTCTGGCACCATGACGATTTTTTAAAGACTCTCTAAATCCCCCCCCCCTGAATTTTCGCTTTTTTCCTTTTGTACTCTGTCTACACCTCCTCCCTTCGAAAGGCCCTTTAAAAGCCCTTCAGAGGGCGCATCCACCAACAGGTAGGTAGGCACCTACCTAGGTACCAAAGGCGCTTGTTCAAGGAAAGGGTTGGCTGCGGCAGGCATGGGCAAGGGCAGAGTCGATTGAGTGCCGCCAAATCTCGACTTGTCAAGCCTGATCTGGCCCGAGGTGAGGCAGGGGTATGCCCGGGCGGCCACTGTTGACAGGACCCGCCGCCTGTCGCCATCAAGACCTGCGGATAAATGCATGCATACTGATGATATAATAATAGTAAGTAGTCATAATACAAACAAACTGCAAAGTTTCACACTGACGTCTCGCACGCAGCTTTCTGGGCCCGCTTGACACACCCTACACAGCGGATTATTAGAGTCTGGCGCGGGGGCGCCGCAGGTGAGAAGCACGCAAAAGCGGCTGGTGGGACCCCTAGTACAGTGGTTGAGCAGGCGAATAAGCAAGCAGAGGTTAAAATCACAAGGCCAAAAGACCGAGCGAGAAAATGATACAAGAAAAAGGTCCGTGTCCAGCCAGATGCGAGTGCTGTCCATCTACAGTACCTACCTATTTAAAAGGCAAAAAGGTAAGCATGTCGCTTGTTACCGCGCAGCACCGCAAAGTTTCGATTTCCGACACTTCTGCCTTCTTCAACGAATAAAAGTGACCGCGCACGACTTGGCATCACATCTGAGGTGCATCAATCTCCAAGATGGCCAGAGGTTAGGTAGCTACACAGAAACCGGTGCAAAATCGCCAAGATGGCTGTAAAGCTCCACTAAAATCGGACGTTAAGTTCGAGTTGCTGGTGTAATGTCGTCCACCGCCAGAAAAATGAATTGATAGTTTCACAACTCTCCTGTATCGTATGATCAAGTCTCTCGCAATTCTTGACCGAACCGGGTGATTCAATAACGCCATTGCCGATTTTGCATCAACAAGAGGCCATTACAAATCAGGCCATCTCCTCTGTCCTCTCTTCCCCAATTCCAGGGAACATGTTGCTGCTTTCGTCCATTAGCCTCGTCAAAGTAGTTAGCTACCATGAAAACAGCAGAACCCGACCCCCACCCCCCCCCCGAAAGCGAGGGGCACCATCAGCCTGCTGATAACTTGACAAAAGGGGCAAAGGCGAACCAAGGCTGTAACACACCCTCGGCCCACACAAATTCGTCTCTCGACGCCTCGTAGGCGCGTGTCAACGCCCAGCCAAGCTCGCCAACGAATATGGCAATGCGATGTCTTCATACCCTGGTCCTCTCACAATCGACCAACTGTTTCATCGATGCCGTCTATTGCCCTGATTCACTGAGTAGTGGGTAAGACATCCGCAGCTCCCTGCCATATCATATCGATTCGGCAACGGAAATGGCTTGACACATCTGCTCAGTAAGCCACCGGAACTCTTCGCGCATACCCCGGCTGACTGCTCAATATCTCCTCGGAATATGCGCGCGTTCCGCCTGCTGCGCCGCAACTCGTACTCTAAAATAGGATAACCCCCCTCCCCCATAAGAACTCCATTGCTTTGTTTCAAACCCCTTTGTTTGCACTCCTTCGCCCGGCATATGTACTATGCAATGACCATGTTTGTTGCTCAATTGCCCTTTACATCACCACGGCACTTTTTTAAGCCCCCCCCCCTCTGAACCAATTCCTCAGTCCTCTCTAGTGTTTCAACTAAAGGGGTCGCTTGCTAAGTCTACAACGTGACCCTGAGCCGAGGAAGGAGAAGGGCAAGGGGTGGAAGAAAATGCTCGACATTGTTGTGGCGCCTTGATCATGTATCGGTACCTGCGCGCCGTCACAGGGATGGTCGCGCATTTCTTGTGCTACAAGCCTACAACCATGGAAGAGCGCATCGGACCGCTGGCGCCTCCCGAGCCGGATTAATAATGAAGGTCCTGGGGATACCCCGGCCCATGGGGCAATTATAGCTGAGTTGTCGTGCATGCAAGCATGGTTTGCTTGCTTACCAGTAATTACTGATAGGTATTGCCGAAACCCAGCGGATGCTCGATGCCAACATTCGTACGCTTTACACACTGCAACTGGTGAGCTCTGAGGAAATGTCCAATAATCGCTTTGAAAAGCAAGGAAGCAATGCTTGAATTTTTGAAAAAGAAGTTCTGAGGAGTTAGACAGCAACTCCAGTACTATTTGTTACACCCTTGTAGAAATGTCAATCCGCTTGGAGGAAAAGTATTTTGGCAGCCCCCGACTCATGCAATCAATGGTGATGACCTCCGATTTGCGTCAGAAGCGGCACCAACATGCCCACCGTCGTTGCGAGCGTGTCCCGCAGCGCCGGTCCGCTGGGCTTGGCTGGGATATTGGTGTTTGTCTCCATGTAGCCATTCGACTGCGGGCCCTGGTCGTGGCTGTGGCTCGCGCCATTCTCCTCCATGGCGTGCATGGCGACATATCTGCAACTCTCTGTCAGCATATAGACTTCTCTCAGCCGACCATTTGCAAATACTTACAGAAACGTCCCGCCGGAAAAGAGCAGCAGCATGCCCGTCCACCAGTGCCCCGTGCTCTCGTCCATCTTGCCGCCGCCCAGCAGCCAGACAAGCATGTACGTCGTCAGCGCCCCCGCCGGCGCTGCCAGGCTGAAGACGAGCAGGTGCGCCTTGGCCGCGCGCTTCGACAGGCCCTGCCGCAGCAGCACCGAGGTGAGGCCAAACGCCGCGGGCGCCTTGTGAATCATGATGGCGACAAAGATAATGAAGCCGAGCTTCATGCTTGACGTCGCGGCCGACGCGCCCATGGCAATGCCGTCGGCCGCCGCGTGAATCACTAGCCCAATCGTCGTGGCCATGCTGCGCGCTACCCTAGGCGCCTCGCGCAGGGAGAAGCTTCCGAGGAAGCCGCGCTCTTCGTCCGCCGAGGCGCGGTCGCCCCCGAGGTTGTCCATGCTGATGTGCTGCGTCGCCGGCGCTGACTGAAGGCTATCGCTGGCATGCTGCGGCAGCCGGTCGATGAGGAACATGAGGATGAAGCCGAGCACCATGGACAGGCCAATCTCGAGCGTCGGTACGTCCGAGTGCGCTTCGCCATCCGCGTGCTTGTCGTGATCGTCTGCGCTGGGGTCCGTGTGGCTGGGCGTGTCTGTGGGCGGTGCCGTCGGGCCCTCCTCCTCATTCGCCCGTGCGGCTGCGCGTCGGACAATGTCGCCCTCGTCAGCTTCCTCATTGTGCCAGTCGTTAGCTGCAGGAGTGGCTGCCGAAATATCGTGCGCCAAGATGCTACGTGCTTCGACGGCAAGAGCCCGTGGGACTCGTCGAAGCAGTTGGCCCGTTTTGTGGTCGTGTGCGACAATTGGGGTCGTCGAGGCGGCCTCTATGCCTTCCGGGATAATGACAATCAGCGATGTGCCGACGAGAACGCCGACACCGATGCTCGATATCAGGCGCAGCTGCGACTGCGATAGGTTCATCGACAGCGGCAATGCACCGGCAAAGAAGGAGCTGCAGTGTGTACAATGTCAGTATTTCCGCCGACCCAAAAGGTTCGTTTGCGAGGTGAGAAAGGCTTACGCGACTGCCATGATGGCCTATGGGGTGGTAATATTAGCATCATACGTTTGAAATGCGCGATCGCGGGAAGAACTAACGCATAGGACGATGAGGAGCGCCAGGCCGGCCATGGCAGCAATGGCTCCCTCACGGGCAGCTTGCGGTTTCTTGTCGGCAAAGGACGCACTGCTGTGTTTATCGCTCGCTGCAGAACTACATGCGCATAGTAGACCTGTTTGCGCTGTAGGTTCGATGCTTCACTTGTGACGTATGCGTGAAAGTCGTGATGAAACAATGATTTTCTTTAGCTAGCTGACTCCCTTGAAAGCGCCTCGTTGTCCAGAAGGGTGTCGCACTTTGTCTTAACCATGGCCCTTGGGCCTGGGCCCCTCCAACCCCCCCTAGATTGGGCCCCGCAACCCCGTTAATAAACGGCCGGCTTGGAGTGGCTAGGCGTTGGACGTTGGCGTGGTTGGCAAGATGCTGCTACGTACTCCGCAGTTCGCCAAATCGCCAGCGCTGAATGCGGGAAATCAGATTGTGAGTGATGTTTGGTACTTTAGGGACTAGATGTACTGTCCCAGTCTCCAATTACTTGTTGCTCAATTGTTAGACTCATAGTCTCTCTTCGGTATACTTGGCACTGCACAAAGATGACAGACGGTACCATACAACTGGACGGATTGCGCATACAGCAACTTTCACGAATTGAACGCGCATCGTTGTTCTATATACGAGCAAGTTGGAACTCTGAATCAAAGAAAAGAGACAGAATATTCGTATACACACATACACAGTTGCTGCGTCCCTTCTTGCCTCCCAAGTAGGTAGTCGAAAAAGTGGACCATGCTGTTCAGAGAATGGACTACTGGGTTTGCAGCACCTTTCCTCCTACATCACGCATCTACCCTACGTTGCGATGGCAGCACCGCCATGAACGATGGATGGCAGAACGTCTCCCAAGAGACGACACATTCTTTCCTCCATCAACCCCGAGAATTCATCGCATCCGCTCTTGAGGCATCGATCCACGGAGCGCCGCCTACGCTCCGCAACTCCGCCTTCGCGGTCGCCACGAGACAAGCCAGCAGCCAATGGCGATACGAAGGAAATCGACGATGGCGACACGACGCGTCCAAGGCGTAGCCGTCTGAAGCTGAAAGGCGAGGGTTCTAGTCGTAGCCATCGCAGTCATCGTAGCAGCCGGCGGCACTGCTCGCGAGAAGACTACAACAATGATGAGCCACAAGAGTCTTCACGTCGTCGTCGCCACCGTTCGCGAGACGGCCGCCATGATCATGATGAAGGAAAAGATTACTCACGCCGACATAGCCATCGTCATCGGCATCGGCATCGACGACGCAGCCGCTCACCTACCCCGCCAAACCCATATGAGGAGGAGCCGCTTGACCCAGAAGCGGCATTCCGCGAGTCGCTATTCGACGCCATGGCAGATGAAGAGGGCGCTGCCTACTGGGAGGGTGTCTACGGACAACCGGTCCATATCTACGAGCAAGACAAGGTCGGCCCGCAAGGCGAGCTAGAGCGCATGACGGACGAGGAATACGCAGCCCACGTGCGGCAGAAGATGTGGGAAAAGACGCACGCCGGTCTGCTGGAGGAGCGCGCACGGCGCGAAGAACGTCGTAAGCAGAAAGAAGAGGAGGCCCGCCACAACAAGAAGCTACACGAGGAAATGGAGCGCAGCCTTCGCCGCGGCGAGGCACGTCGCGAGCGGAGATACTGGGCGCGTCGCTGGGAGGATTACACTGCGTCGTGGGAGAATTGGGACGGGGCGGCCCGGACCATGGCCTGGCCATGGAAGGGCGGTGTGGCCAAGCGCGCCGCGGGCTGGGGCATCGTCGAAGACGGCGAGGAGGAAGAGATTGACGAGCAGGAGGTGCGGGAGTTCTTCGTCCACGGACTGGCGGCGGACGAGATCGGCGAGGCGGCCTTTGTGTCCAAGCTGAAGGATGAGCGTGTGCGGTGGCATCCGGACAAGATTCAGCAGCGTCTGGGAGGTAAAATGGACGACAAGGTGATGAGAGATGTCACGGCGATTTTTCAAATCATCGATAGACTATGGGCTGATATGCGACAAAAGGAGTAGTTTTTATGATACCCGGAATGCGAGCTTTGAAATTTGATGGTCATTGATATCCGTGCTTGTGTATTTGCTCTAGAGATATGTAAAGCAAATGCCATGAGCAATTATTTGTAGATGATACTTATTTTGTGTGGATCCTGACAGTGCATAGGTTCAATTAATGTTGCTTTTGCGGAGAATGACAAAGTTCTTAAAAGGATATTTTGACATCTTTGCTCAGCAATAGCGTCCTTGGAAGATGGTTCGGGTGGTTGCTACTAATACTGAGGTACCTACTAATATAGTGACGCTGTCTCAATGTGGGGGAGTTCACTCCCCAGAGCCCGATTTCCTCCCACCATCTCCATTGTCGCCCTGCGGCATAGTTCTAAATCTCCTCGCGCAATGTGCATCTATACAATTCATACATATCGCACTTAACATTACAGAGCGTCGGCAATTCCCCCTCACCATGTCCGTTCTTCAACTGGAAGAGTGAGTGAGCTCAGCACTGCCCGCCTACTGGCGTTCCCCTCCCATCACATCTGCATCAGCTAACGAATCGCCAGTCTCGTCTCTTACCAGCTGCGAACAAGCTATCTCAACGACATTGCCGACGGCGTGGGTGAGCGCCTTCTCACAGTCAACGAGAGCTTCATCAACACCGCGCCGTTCAAAGCCGCAGGATGGCGTCCGACGTCGAGCCATAAGCGGACGCATTCTCCCCCGATCCCCACGGCGATTGCTTCGGAATACTTTCAGGCTCCACGCTTGCTCGGCTTATCGCTCGAAGATGGAGAAGATGACGGCGGCATGCTGACGCACGGCGGCGCCGACACCATGGGCCCCGGCATTGCAACTAAGAGGCGCAGGCGCCGCGAGCAAATGGAGGAGGACGACAGTAGCGATCTCACCGACGAGAGTGAGGAAGAACAGGAGCAGCGCGACGCGCAGCGAATAAAATTCGCCAAAATGCCCCTACGCCACCGCGCGGGGTCGTCGCCGCTGCAAAACACGAGTCTCAAGCAGCCATTTGGCAGTACGTCGCCAAGAGCGGTGCGCCGCGGCTCGCAGTCGGCGCTAGAAACGGTCAAGGAGCGGTCACGAAGAGATACAGTCACCAGCAGCGAAATTTCTTCCGAGAGCGAATTTGACATGCCTCATGCGCAGAGGCACCGGGAGGCGGCACGGGCAGCGGTGCGTACGTTGAAGCTGCAGGACAGAATTAACGAGGAGCCTATACCCGGCATCAAGCGCGCCGACACAACGCTCCTGCCAGAGGAAGAAGAAGACTCGGATGAGGGGTCTGATATTTCAGAGGACTATGTCGAAAGTATCGACTCGGCGTCCATTCTGAACACAGTCGACAACGGCTCACCAACGCAGCCAGTCGTCGGTACCCCTCCGCGAAACTACCGCAGACAATCGATGATACGAAAATCACAGCTCCCGTCCGAACCCGCAAAGCTTTCGGCCCTACCGCCCCCTCGGCCCCTAAGCACCATTCGACCCCTAAGCATCATACAGCCATCAAGTTTACTCACGCAGGGGTTGAAAGCGAAAGAGCACAAATCAACAATACCTTTTCAAAAATTCGCGCATTATAGTGGCCAAGGAACGCCGGGATCCATTGCTGTTCGCATATATCCAGCATATTCTAAAACATCAAGCAAGCCCTTTGAGGTGCCTATCCGGCCACGTGTAAGCGATGGGCAAGGCGCTGAACGAGCCGTGACGGTTGCGGATCTCATCGGTCTAAGCTTGTATCGATACAACGAAGAGAAGAGAGAGCCTCGTCTGCCGCGCGACAAGCTGAACATAAATTGGTGGACTCTACGAATGGTGGAGGAGGGTGGCGAAGTAGACGACGACTTCCCGCCATTTGAGAGAACGAAGCCTCTTGTTTCGTTTACAACTGTTCATAATGCAGGACTGAGAGGTGGTGGCCGCATGCGTTCCAACTCGAGAGCCTTTGACGACTTTGCTCTAGTGCTCGCTGACGAGGACGAGTATGAAGCGAACAAGAAACTCACACCACAAGACGACGAAGAGGTGGCACCGCAGTCCACTCCTGCAAACGATGCAGAAGAAGCCCGCAAATATAATCTACAGCCTGCTGTCGCCGCAACACAGCTCGGAGCCAATCGACCTCGGCACAATCCTATTGTCACGACTACGTATCGCCCCAATACGCCACTTGCCGACGCGCCGCAGACGCCGAACATCATGCCGAATACCAACAGAGGCCAGCAGAAACTATTGCGCGTGCATATTATGTCTTCGGATATTGTTCCCGGACAAATGGTTACGGTTGATGTGACGACGGACACATACCTGGAAGAGGTTCTGGAGCTCGTGTGCCGTAAGAGGCAGCTTGACAAGGCCAACCATGTGCTCAAACTGCCGGGCTCTGGGGCTGTGGTGATGATTGACCGGCCCGTCTCATCGATTGGCAACGTGTCGGACCTGGAGCTGTACCGGCGGCGCTTCGCGACGGACGGCCTGCTGACAATGGCAGGCTCGCCGAGCAGCGCATCGCCGCGGCCCGGTGCCGCGACGTCGCTGCCCGAGAGCCACACGCTGCGGCGGGCCAACAACAAGCAGCGCGGGGCAGGCCCGATGTTGGGGGTGCACCCGCTGGCGCGCGAGGCGCTCAAGCAGGACGAGCTGAGCAACGAGGGGTACAGCTACACGGTGTGGCGCAAGCAGCCGATGCGGCTGGTGCTGAGCGAGCGGCTGCTGATGATTGACGGCGAGTATATTCACATTAAGCCGGCGTCGGGGGGCAAGGCGCTGCATGACAGCACGAGCAAGACGACGACGGTGCATTTCAGCAACGTGATTGGGTGCAAGGTGGCGCGAAAACACCCGACCAATTTCAAGGTACGTGGACGCTCTCTATTTTCTCTGTCTCTTTGTCTTTTGAAATGGGCTCGGGTACTGACGTCACTGTTACAGTTGGTCGTGTATAGAGCAACGGAGACGAAACGCTATGACTTTGAGGCGCGCAATGCCGACGAGGCGGCAGAAATTGTCAGCGAGCTGAAAAAGGGCATTGCTCCGTACAACCCCGAGGTGTGAGCTGAGCAGCGGGACAAGGGGAAGAAGGGAGAGTCTGGTGCTCGAGAATATGGAGAAAGCGAACCAAGGTGTCTTTGGATCAACAGTGCTGAGGAGGTGGGTAGACTGTACCCACACGGTTCTCGGTAGGGGACTGCAAGTACTACCTACTTGATGTTTCTCTCATGGCCTGGCTAAGGAGAATCAAAGCAGCCTTGGAAACAGACAAGCCAGTTGCTAGTAGGTAGACAAGAAGATACTACGAATGTGATTCAGACTAGTCCTCTATTTCAGTAGTATGAATTAGATTCAAGAATGAATAGCATCAGAACAAAGAGACGACAAAACTCTATGACAGAGTGGCTGCTGGTGTGAAACTGCTTGCTGAGCCGCAGGGCACTTTTAGGGATCCATCCGTTCCTGTTATTAGCGTCAGAGTAATATTCCGACCATTGGAGGATCCCGCCAACCTGCCCCCTGTTGGGCGAGTGGGTTAAAAAAGACCAAGGCGGAGGGCTGAGGCGGAGAGGGAAAAAAAAAGCTACGGAGTACGCACATGGAAATGAAAGCTTAGCCGAGTGACAAGAGTAATGTAGAAAAAGCTTGGTATGGCGAATAGCTTGTGGCGCGCATGGCATCATGTCATCGAGACCCACTCTTATGGCTGGGATCCCCGCGTCCCACAATGTGCGAGATCATGTTGGGTGAGCTCCATTCGCAGCATCACGGCGATGTCATGATTACATGTGGTTGGGGATATTTTTTTCTGTTATTGTTTCAGAGAGCCCTTGGAGCTCCGAAATGGCCTTGTGCTGGATGGAGCCTGGCGCTGTGCTGGCATTGTGCTTTGCAACTTTGTTAAGCTTCGTGGGCTTTGTCGGCGAATTCGAGAACTGGACGGGAGCCTCGTGGCGCGCCCCCATTTTCCTTTGACCACGTTTCTTGCTCACTGGTTGGGTACTGTATGTACAACAAGTTCCGGAACTTGCTGGATTAAAACCAGAGATGGGTCCAGCCCAAAAGAAGCCTTCCCACACCTCAACGCAGAAGAAGTGTGGCTAGAATGTCTCATGTGGCTAGCTGTGGCTGAGCAACTACCAACAATGCGTGAGTAAAACAACTTGTGTGCGTAGATCTATCAGTAGTCTTTTCACCAGTTGCCTTTTTTTCTTTCCCTCTTCTTCTTTCATTTGCTCCCTGGGGCCCTGCCTGGCTTGTGTGTTTTCGGCTGAGCTGCAGGTAATCAGCCAAAAGCAGCCCAGAATCGGGTCGCAGAGGCGTGCATGTGCTGGGTGATCCATTGGGGTCCAGGCTGTGCAAAAAGCCCAATGTTCCTATTTTCAGACCAGCAGCCTGCATCAGTTGGCCCACTCTCGGCTTTGTTGCTGTACATAGTATTAGGTATGCATACGGATAGAATCAGTCTATTTGCAACGCCACGTAAGGCCATACATACCCCCCCTTGACTTGCACGTCTTGCTATGCAGCTACGGTACGGTGCATCTAAGCGCCAGAGACATGCACAGTTAGAGAATGACAGCATGCTAGCACGCTAGATGGCTGTAGCGCAACTTTGTAGTTCTACCTTAGTCATATAGTAGCCAATCAATCAAAGGGGGAAATGATGAAATGTTGCAATGGTGAGATGGAGTGATGAGTGCAGAATGCGACTGATGACGCCACACGTGGCGGTGCCTTGTTTCTCCTGTGCCAACGTCTGCCAAGGCACCAAAGTGACGCCCCCCAGACATTGTCCCAGACCAATCTCGATCTGAAAACGGCACGAACGGGTACAAAAAAGATATTTCCCCCTATTGTGCCAACAATGGGCGCTATTTCAAACGCAAAAAGTCTCTGTGCTTCTAGCTTACCCGAAACTCTATACCGATTTATGCCTGTAATGGCCATGGTCGGGGGTGCTGAAATGCAATGCCACAAGAGGAGGAACAGCCCGTTTGCCGCCTAACCAGCAGTAATAAAGGAAAAAAAAAAAAAAAACAAATCGTGATGTCACTCTCTGCGCTGATGGCGTCGCAAAGACTCCACCGCGCTACAGCAACGTCTGACCAAAGCGAAGCGGCCCATTGTTCTTGGGGGTTGTCTGCAAGGAAATAAAGTATCAAGTACCACAATAACCAAGTTTTTGAATTGTTCCAGGCTTTTTACCCAGCCCCCGTTGCAGCTGTGGCTTTCAGTACAGCAACCGTCCCAACGCCGTGCCTCCCGCCCAGCCGCCCCCCCCCCCCCTCGACCCCAGCAACCCCACGCCACAACCAAGGCAGGCAGGCCGCCGCGATGATCAGACGCAACTGTGAGGAGGTTGTGCAATAGTTGGTTCTTCCCTGTCGTTAACCGGGAATAGGATCCTTGCACAGGCACCAAGCATATAAACTCGAGCTCGCCCCCCCAACATGCTGACTTGGCTTTCCTCCCTCCTCATCAATACAACTGTCTTATACCCCATCCATCATCAACCAATCTTCCATATACCCGAACAAGCGTTTTTCAGTTCATCATATACACAACACCATCAAGATGAAGTTCTCCAACGTTGCTATCCTCGCCATTGCCGCCGTCGTCCAGGTTCGTCTTTCCCGCTTCACGCACCGTCCTCCCGTTCCACCCACTAACATACACCCCTTCTAGGCTGATCTCAACGACATCAAGACCGGCGCCGAGGGCATCGCCTCAGGAGCCTCTACCGCCCTTGGCGGCGCCGCCTCGGACGTCTCTAGCTGGGCCACCAACGTCGCTTCGGGCGCCTCGAGCATCGCCACCAGCGCCAGCTCCGTTGCCACCAGCGCCGGCTCCGCCGTGACCAGCGCCGGCAGCTCGGCCGCCACGGCCGCCTCCACCGCCGCCGAGTCGCTCTCCTCCAAGGCCGGCGAGCTCAGCTCCTCGGCCAAGAGCGCCTCCGGCACCGCCGCCAGCTCTCTCTCCTCTTCGGCCAGCTCGGCCTCCAAGGCTGCCTCTTCGGCCTCGTCCGCCGCCTCCTCGGCCAGCTCGACCGCCGCCGCTGCCGCTCCCACCGCCATGATGGCTATGGGTGCCCTCTTTGGTGGTGCCGCCGCCATGGCCAACCTGTAATTTCTTTTTTCTTGTCAAAGGAACAGTCAGGATTTGAGAGAGAGGTTGCTTGTTTTTCATAATACATAATTTCTGCGGAAAAGCTGGGGTTTGCATTACCAGCCTCGCATCCTCAGCATGAGGAGGTCAAACTCTTAATGCCAAAACTTCAGAGTGTAACCATATAAGGGATTGGATCTCGAGCAGTTGTCTAGCGACCTGCTATTAATACAACATATCCTATACAGAAATTCATTTTGCCCTTGTGTGAACATCTTTAAGTTACCGTTTTAAAATGACCGAATGTGTCTGCTGCTGACGAACCCAGATGAAGCAACATCACGGCATCTCATCGACCGTTCTGACTTCGGTTGCGATACCTGGAGAGAGGCTAATATTTGTCGCCACTCACTGTAGATATCGGGTTTGAAACTTGAGGCCGGAAAATGTCGAGAGGCTTCGTTGGGGAGAGGTTTGCAAACGAATTTGGCGGGCATCAAGCAGTACCTTACAAAGTTGGCAGCCCGTAATGCTGGACTTCAGGAAATCAGGCATTATGAATATTCATCGATTGGGCTGAAACCTGTCGTGCAGGTGCTACGAATTACAAGACATAATCAGAACCTCACCTCAGGCAGCATCAGATTAATTCCTAAGATATCTTTAAGACGTCCTGAGCCTAGTATATTGTTTATGCTTCTATCATTCAAAATTAGTAGGATCTTTTTTATATGACTATGAGAACACAATATGATCATTGTAAATGCTAATGAAGAGAGCTTTGAGGACCAGAACTCGGCGGGTGTGTATTCTAGGTATTCTACTTTACTTGCACGTGCCGAGGCGTGATACAGTGTTAGGCTGTCTCTTGCAACTAGAAACTTACAAGAAATTGAAAAATATGACGTATCTTGTTTCTCATTCTCGTTTTTTATTCTGCCTCACTTCTTTTTCATTTTTGCCTTGGTCGCTTGCCCGATAATCATGCTTGCCAGCTCCTGCCAACCACCCCACTAATAAACAGCTGTCACCTGCAATAGCCCAACGAAAAGTCGATCGCAAACATATCCTGTCCTCTGCACAAACACGTTCGGCAACACAACCACCACACCAACCACCATGGGCCTCGTCGACTACTCCTCCGAGTCTGACTCCTCCGGTCCCGAGGCCGAAGCACCCACCAAACCAACTCCCAAATCGAAACTCGTCGGCGGCGGCGGCAGCGCGTCCAGCAAAAAGGTCCCCTCCGTCGTCGACAAGTCCAAAGCCGGCAAGATCATTGTCAACCTCGCCGGCAACGCTGCAAACCCTCCGAGCGATGAACCACCAGCGAAGCGAGCGCGCACGACTGGTGGTGGCGGCGGGCGTTTTTCTGGCTTCAACGCGTTCCTGCCGGCGCCCAAGAACACGGCGGCCAGATCGACGGCGGGTGGCTCGAGGGGGGTAGGTCTGCGGACGAGTGCCGCGCCTGGATTCAGCAGAGATGCGGCGGACGTGCCGTCTACAACGAATGCCGATGCGGTGGGCGATGGTGATGAGGCAGGCGACGACGCGGGGCGGACGACGACAACGATGAAGAGTGGTGGGCTGAGCTTGCCGCCGCCGAAAAACGCAGTGGTGGAGCCGGCGATCCCAGAGGGCCAGAAACCGGCGTCAGAGGTCAAACTCACGGGCAAGCCGCTCATGTTCCGCCCGCTGTCCGTCGCCAAGGGCAAACCGAAGAAGAAGACGACAACGACGACAACGTCCACCGTAGCGGCGAAGCTTGGCCCCTCCGCGGATGCCAACTCCACCGCGACCCAAACGCCCGCTCCTTCTACCGCTCCGCCAGAGCCGCCCAGCAGGAAAAAGGTTTCGCTCTTTTCCATCCCTTCCGACGACACAACCCCCGCGCCGGGCCCGTCGCTATCGAGCGGCACCGGCGCCTACGAGCCTCTCTTTGAAACCGCCCACGACGATGCCTACAACACCGCCGCGCAGGCCACCGAGCCCCTCGTGGCGGAAGAGAAGGAGGCGGAGTCGGTGGGCGCCATTGCCGACGACATGAACCTGTCAGCCGCCGCGCGGCGCGAGCTCTTTGGCCGCGCCGGCGCCGGCAGCGGAAGCGGCAGCGGCACCACGGCGCAGCGGATCGTCAATTTCAACATGGACCGCGAGTACCGGCACAACGAGGCGCTGCGGGCGAGCGGCGAGCAGCAGATTCACAACCCGGTGCGGGCGATTCAGGGCGGCGGCAAGCACAGCCTGCGGCAGCTCGTTGACAACGTGCAGAGCCAAAAGGATGCGCTCGAGGATAGTTTTGCCAAGGGCAGGACGAATCGCCGCGAGGCGTCGAGCCGGTATGGCTGGTGAGGGAAGGGGGGGGGGGGGGGGCCAGTTGGATCTCATGTGTATATATATATATGTTGTATGTATACATTCACGCACGCATAATGATACCCTATTGCATATTTTTTTTTTTTCAAGATTTGAGAGTAAGAATCACAAAGCTTTCTGCCATCTATCAAACAAGAAAGAAAACTGGGAATAATGCCAACGCTAATATCAAGTGTACGATTGGTGTCTGGTGAGCGAGGCGAGAGACCTTGTTCAACATGTCGTCACAGCCACGGTCCTTGCATTTCGAAAGTCTCGATCCACCAGCAGGAACCCCCACTCGCCTCTTGTTATGGGCGAAATGTCGTCGTAGCCGTTGGGCGTCATGGGACCGTCGTCGACGTCGTCTCGATCCCGCGCGGGGGTTTCCGGATCCGCCCCCGGGCTGAGGATCTCGTCAATCGATGCCGACTGCGTGCTGCACCACAGCTGGTCCCTCGCTACGGCTGCGAGGCCCGATTCGTCGTCAGGCCGCGCCGTTGCCACCGCATCAGCTTCTTCTTCTTCTTCTACTTCTTCTTCTTGTAGCACTATCGGTGTTGCGATTTGCCTCTCGTCAATGGCGTGCGTCTTGTCGACCGTTTGATGCGCGGGCGTGTGGATCATGCTCGTTTGCACCCGCAGCGGGGGCGTCTTGCGAGAGGAGGCGGAGGCGGAGGCGGAGGAGGAGGGCTTTGGCTGCGTGGGCACGGGCGTGGCGCTGTCGGACATGCCCACCATGGCCGGGTCAATGGTCGGGCTGTCCGGTAGCCCTTCGACGTAGACGCCGCTGTCCTGGTCATTGTACGCTTCCTCCCGGCCCATCTCGTCGTCGTCGTCATCCTCTTCGTCTTCGTTGTCATCTTCTTCGTCGTCGGACCACACCGACGACGTCGTTTCGGGAACCGGCGCAAAGTACATGCCGTCGATGCCGCCCTGCATCTCGACGCCCCCGTACGCCCGGCGGTACATGCGGTCGAGGTCCGCCAGCGCCGAGCGCGACACGCTGAGCCAGTCGTACGAGCGCAGCAGGTGCATCTTGGACACCTTGCCGCCCGTCGCCAGCACGTAGCGGCGCAGCTCGTCGACGGCGTCCTCGAGCCGCAGCGGGGAGCCCGTCTTGGAGTAGCTCGACAGCGCGGCCTTGAGGCTGTACAGGCGGTCCAGCGCAATGAGCGAGAGGCCGTCGGAAGAGAAGAGCACGTCGTTTTGGGCCACCGAGTCGTTGAAGAGCGCGCTGCTGAGGCCGCAGGCGGGCGCGCCGAGCGCGGGCGCAATGTGCGTGCGTCCGTCGCCGCCCGACTTGCGGCCGGCTTTGGCGAGGGCCGACTGCAGCGTCCTTTCGGCCTTGGCCGGCAGGTTGCCGTGGTGGATGAGACGCACGCCGTGCTGCGGCGTCATGGGGAAGCCGTACGAGGAGGAGCCCTCGGTCGGGACGGAGGATTTCATGGTGGATGGTGTCGGGGGCAGCGGCGGCGAGAGCGGCGTCATTGGTGTGAGGGGCCATATGGGCGACTTTGGCGACATTGAGCCCTGCTGGGATCGTGGGAATTGGGGCGAAATGGGCGTGTAGGCTGGCAAGGAGAAGATGGATCGGGGCGAGGTCGGCATAGACGAGGCGGCGGAGGAGGAGGAGGGAGAGGCGGGAGAGGGGGATGGCTGGTGGTCGTGGTGACGGCGGCGGCCCCATCGCGGGAGGTGTAAATGCCGGGTAAAGGAGCGGCTCCGCGAGGGCGAGGCCGGGGAGCCGCAGGTCGACGGCGGTGAGGGCGGCTGGGAGCAGAGGACGGGCGAGGGCGGAAGCTGGTAGTCGCGGCGGGCGACGACGAGCGTCAGGTGCAGGGACTTGCGGGCGAGGCGGGAAGATGTATATTCGAGGGCTGGGACGAGCTGCGGCGGGATGTGGTGCGCATCGAGGAGGGAGGGGCCGGCTTCGAGGGGCGAGGAGATTGTATCCTTGAGAGGCATGATTGTTCGGGGCGTCAGAGGTAGGGGTGAAGGGAGAACCTGGAGAAGAACAAAAGGGGGCCGGTGTTTCGTAAAGGAGCGAGTTGTGCGGAAAGAATGTGACGTGTAAGTGTGTGTCGGCTCAACCAGTACCCAGGCTTTTGGTTCAGACTTGGCTACTATACAAGTAAATGCTAGAAGACGCAAGCTGTTTGGGTAATACAGAAGAGAGAAACAAAGTTTTTTGTTTTCTTCGTCAATCTTCTGTTCAGAACCAAGGCCTAGGACCGGTTGATCGAGAAAGAGAAGAAGGAGGAAGAACGAGGGAGAGTGTGAGGTATGTATACATATAGATGCCTCTCAGCTCACGTTGTCATGAAACAAAACAGCACAGCGGCGGCCTTTTTCACCCCACCTGCATCTCGAGATCTGAAACGCAAAACAGAAATAGAAATAGAACAGAAAAGAATCAAAACAAGAACACGCCGCCGACAGCTGTAGGCAGCAAGATGCTGCTATTTTTACGAGGCGTGGACGTGGGGTGTGTTGTAACTTGTATGTGGGTGGGTGGGGTGGGTAGGTGATGATGGGCGGCTATTTGGCAGCGAACAAGATGGATTGGATTGGATAATAATAGGGGAATATGGAGTGGGCTGAGGACGAAACGAGACGGGACCGGAAACGCCAGCCACATTTGTCCGGAAACAAGGCCCTGGGATTAGAAGAGAAGACAGCAGTCCCTTGTAAGAAAACCAAAAGCCTTTCAAGATTACAGTCGTGATGGTGACGTTGCTATATTCATCAATCTTCTACATTTTCTCGGTGGAAAAGTTGGCCGAAGTGTGTTTGCACGGGCGCCTTGCAAGCCCGGAAGTTTTTACCCGTCGGGACAGAGTTTAGATGGGAGCTGTCATATTGTACGTGGTGACGACAACTTGACAACGACAGTTGGAAATAATCGAAAAAAAAAAGAATCCAAATATTTGTGACTCTTGTTTCAGTTGCTGTCTGAACAGAAATGACGGGTCGCGTTGGACAAGTTCCCTTGTGACACGACCGTCCCCCAACTGGGGAAAATGGGGCGCTGGGCGCGTAAATAACCAAACCAGATTGGGGAAGAAGAAGGGGAGAAAAAAAAAGCGGCGCCTGCTAAATTTGGAACTGGGGGTTTTTTCCCACCCCCTCTGAAGAATTCCCCACTCGATCTGCTAGATCCCTGCTGCAACTCCGACACACCAGTCACAGACTCATAGTTGTCTAATAATGCCCGGTCTCACTCCGCGCATATAAAGTGAATATATGTATATATATATATATAGATATATTGTTAAGAGAAGCGAGAAACCTTTTTAATACTTCTCTTGCTCGAGTTGGCCTTTCTTTTTTCTTGAAAAAAAATAACACGAAAAGAATAGAAAAGAACCAACTTTCAGCTTCCTCATCTCATTTAAGCGCCCGTCCCGTCTCCACGAACCCCACCCACCCCAACCATGACCCGCAGCCAACCAGCGTTCTGCCCCGCGAACACACACCACCACGTTTCCCCGAAACAGGAACAATGGCGTTTCTTTTAAATAGGGCAAAAAAAAAAAAAAAAAAAAAAAAGGTTTCAACAGCAGGGGGCACTAGAGAAACGTTTAGCATTTTGCATCACAAAAACTCCATCCGGCCGCATTGTCTAAAAATTCTCCAGCGTTTGATCCTCGCTGCAGAAACGCCACGCATCAAACAGCTTCCTTACTCTTACTTTACGGTGACAGCGCACACATGCCATCATCTATTATGCGTCACTTATGAGTAATCTAGACAGGGCTGGCAGGTGTTCCTGCAGCAGCTGCTAGATTACTCATAAGTGACGCGTAATGCAAATGGACTGCCGTGTACAAGCTACGCGTAGCCATAGTATACAAACAACTCCATATGCACCATGCCATATTTGCACTAGAGTCATCTGTCTTGTGCATCATTCATTACTTCGTCATCAACATCTAGTACTTCTCATGTCGTATGCCGTCATCAATTCCATGCCAGAGATAAAACCTACCATCCTCTCTGACCAGCTTTCCAATCACACGTGCTATGGCCCGTCAATCTTCCTTCATGCGTACCCATTATTCCCTAGCATAATCAGCGCCTCTTCCGTGTCGGCGTCCTCATCCATCGGCTCCGATGACAGTGCCGATCCCTCCCAATCTGTAGCCCCAAGTCAGTTGCGGTTCCTTGCCCAAGCCCACGCTTCTCACTTACCAGATCCCTCGTCTTCTGCCCGGTCCACAACCAGTGCAGTCATACTTTCCAGGATTTCTATCTGCTCGTTAACAAACCTGCCCTTACATCTGAAACTCTATACGCACCTTGCTGCTGCTCGCTGAATTCTTCCTTAACATCCTCGTCCAATGTCTCGCTTTCTGACACCACCACGTTGCAGTTAGACAGCACGCGAATTAGCACCCCGGCAAGGTCTCGTTCGATAGACGCTCTCCGCTTGACGTGCGCATGCTGCAAGAAATCGAGACACTTAGTTCCTATTGCCAGTGCGAGCTCTGATGACAATGCTGCAGCCTCGACGCTCGTCGACCCCGACTCAAACGGAAGACGCAGCGCCATATCCACCAAACGCTCCGTTCCATTGCGTACTTGGCTGTCTGCATACTGTAGCAAATACGGCGCCCAGCTGGGTATTGTATGCAGCGTTGACAGCCGCAGCCGCCCACGCTCTTCCTCGCTCAGCCGCGTGCTATCAATCGCCCGCCACATGAGCCCAAGAAATGCCTCGCCTTCCCCTCTTTCGAAGCTGGCTGCCTGCTCGCAGATGTGTTGAATCAGTCGCTGAGCATCGCTCAGGTGACGGCAGCTGTCGACGAAGATTGCTGCGGCTCGGATGTACGAATCAAGAGGCTCCGTAGTTGCATCGCCTCGGATCGTCTGTTCGAGCATGCCCAACAGCTTTGCCGTCGGAATCTCACCCGCACGCAGGATTCGCTTCAGGATCCGTCTGGTGACTTCCGGTGCCTGGTCTATCTCCAATAAGCGCGCCATGAACAGGCTAGAGTCCTCTTCCTCAGGGTGCGTCACTAACAACCTGACCTCTGCTGCTGTCCACGGAAGATACTCACCGCTGTGAGCTAGTCGTTCATCAGCTGCCTCCACAATCGTCTCGTGGCTGAGTTCTGGTTCCAGCCGATCCATCAGAAACTCAATGACAGCCAAGACCGCAACATAAGACGGTGCCTGTCCGCTGAACCTCCTGTAAACGTTCTGCAGCATCTTCACAAAATTCGGCTCTAGTTGCATGGAGCGATCCGCAGTGATGATTCTTAAGCACTTCTCCAAGTAGCCTGACGCCAGGATCGCAGTGCACTCTTCTCTTCCAAGCTGCGCCACGTGAAGAATTGTTGTAAAGTACTCTTCCCACGCTCTGATGTGATGCTGAAAATACTTCCAGAGCTGGTTGAGTAGCTTTACCGCACGCGACAGCATGCCCTCGTTTTCTGCGTCATCACCATCCATGTCTTCGTCTTCATCACCGCTACCCAGCCATACTGCGCTCGTCCGAGTATAGTACGAATCTGGACAGCTCTTGGATAGCTTCTCCATACAGACGACAAAGAGGTGGCCGATGGCGGATCGCACATTGCGTTCCGGGTTTCGCAACAAAAGCGAGCGAAGCACAGCGGGGCGATGCTGGAAATATTCGAGCACATGCCATGCGCAATCTTGCCGTGTCCTTGCCAACTCAGCCAGCATGGTGCAAAAAATGAGGGCCGACGAACTATCTTTGCTGCGGCTGAATATCTGATCCAGATAACTCAATGCAGTACCCACAACCAGTTTGCAGGCTTTGGGGGCTTCGACCTCTCCCACCGACTGTCCATCCAGCTCTAATCCAGCTTGAGAATGTCGACCCACCCTGAGGCCCTCGCAGACACAAGCCTGAACAAACTTGGCATGATTTGGATCAAATAGGCAGTGGCGGCGCAGGAGCAAGACATTGGTACTCCGTATGTGCTCTTTCAGGGCCTCGCCCTTCGTTGTATACGAGTATTGGCTCACTTCCGATACCGGCTGAGCCTCGGCGGCTTCGGTTGGGTAGGAGATCCGTTGATAGAACAGCATATAAGCACTGTAGCTCTTGTCAAAGGATATGCTATTTTCTTCGTATACTGAGCGCCGCTCTGGACCACCAAATGTCGATGCTTCCATCGACGAAGGATTCCATAACCCCACTTGGTCGTCGTTGAACTCTACCCACTTGGTCGTCGTGTCTTGGTTTGGTGCGCGCTCACGTACGTAGGAATAGTAGTGGCCAGATTCTGCCGTGCCTGCATGTACAAGTACACCAACCAGCTCAAACATGTCTTGTTTGCCTTCGGGTGTCGATCCGCTGAGGTGTTCAATTGTGTACGGCTGCAAATCTAGCTTGTCAGGGAACGCGAAATAATCATCGATCTTGCTCCGCTGCAGTGTCTGAAGGTTGAATTCGAACCGCTTTAGATGAAAGATCACGTTGTCAGGTACGTCTTTTAAACAAGCCCTGGGTATATAAGCATCTTTCCATCTTGAACAACATGGAAAACTCACCTTTTCACAGCATCAACATGCCGGTCACATGAGGAGCACTTGTATTTGTTATCTGCATGTGTTTAGCACTTGTTCTCGCCGATGCACCGCGACACTTACCGCCGTCCATGGTCTCTCCGCCCACATAGGCCTGTAGGCTATCTTCGAGTGTCGATTTACCCTTGATGTCGCACTGGATAGCAGAGAAAGGCTCCAATCTCTCCGAAATGTGTCCACACTCTTTTGACTTGATTTGTTGTACGAGCTGACCGCCATATATTGACCGGAACTTCCTTCTGGCCGCGGCATTCGGAAGCTGGGCTTCCCACCTGTCAAACAAAAGGTTATAGAATTCGTCCACATCCATCTGGCTGTGGATGTCAATTGGCCCCTGGTCATACGTCTTGATTGCGCCAACGAATGTAGCCGGCTCCACCGCCCGATCAATGCTCTCTTGTAGATACACGAAAAGCCGCTGAGTTTCATGCAAGAGTGCTTTGGAGTCGTCGGCTTCATCCACATCAAATGATAACAGGTAATTCCGAAAGCCAGGATTCATGTACAATTGTGTGATGAGTGAGTTGAGGTAGCAGGTGTTGGATAGGTTCTGCAGGCCGACATATCCGGCAGGTGACCGCAGCGCTTTCTCTTGCTCAAATTGAAAGGGGAGGTCATATATGTATGGTTCAGCTACTCGGATGTCAGCTCAGCAACTTGCTTTTGGGCTACCAACACTTACCACTACCAGGATAGAAGGGAACCATCTCGTCCAGAAACTGCACTGTCTCAAGCAACATGTCGTTGTGAGCGCGTAGATACAGGTATATACATTCGTAGAGCTTGCCTCTGGTTTCAGAATTTAGAATGATTCTTGGCAGAGACTTGTCTATCACATTTTGCTCTGGCGGGAAGAGATGCTCCTTCATAAGAGTGGTGAGTGCAGCCCTGCACAAAGATCAGTTACTGGCTCATTCTTCATCAAAGAGAATAACTACCTTGGAACAGATTGAGCTAGAGACTCATCTACCTGGAGACAGCGAAGGAGGAGAGTGACTAGCCCCTCGGCTACCACATCGCACGGTGTAACTTGGTAAATATCCTGAAACCTTCTCGTTAACAAGACTCACATCGACATTTTCGGCGTTAAGCCTACCTCGGTGCATCTATGTGCTATCAAGTACTCGGTCAATTGCCGGACCAGTGATCCAAGGTCGAGACATTCAGGGTATTTTTGACGCATTTTAACGACGAGACTGCACATAAGCTTCATCAACTCATGGCAGTTTTCTCCCAGTTTCGGGATGGTAGTCAACGTCTCCAGCGCCCAAGACCAAAAGTACTTTGCGATGCAGCCATTTCTATCAGCCATCTCGAACTCCTTTTTAATGCTGTCCTCGATTAAGCTGACGCAGAAATGCCGGAATTGTTTTTGATTGGACAAGACGCATGTCCGACGCATCAGCTCTGCCAGCAACGGGCTATCGGACAATGCCAGCCAGAATGCCTCATTGACTAATCCCAATCTGAGGATCAAAGATAGGCACTTAGCACTGAGATGAACGAGTTCATCATCTTCCGAGCCCGTAGCGTTGTCTAGTATTGACAGTATTCGGCATGAGGAAGGCCCTGGGATGTCCTGTGCAGAAGGAGTGTGCCGTAATGAAACTGCGTCTGTATGAGTTAGCTTTGCTTCCGTGTACGGGGGCCCATGACATACCATCGAGAAGGCGCTGAAACTGAAATATTAAGGCTGATGTGACCGGCACGTTCACGCGAGCAGATGCAGCTTGGGTAATAGTCTCGTCATCCAAGCCCTGCGCAAGCAGCCGTAAAGCCTTGTATACCATGGCAGCGTAGGATTCGCTTTCGATCGGAATTGTTGAGTTGTGACCCAATGACCTTCGTTGCTGTTGTGTCTCTTTCACGCACTCCATCAGGACGAAAATGGAGTATAACAACCTACAAGGTTGATCAGGGACAAAGTGGTCCTCATACTTGATATCCTCGGCCAATAAGCGCTGCATCAAATGGCCATCGGCCGGGAGTCGTAAAAGAAAGTTGTACGTCTTGAAATTATGATTAGTGACATGAGTTAGAGGAAGGAAACGTTGCGTGCCATGTTCTTACCTCAACAGCGATATTTTCATCCATGATCAAATATTGCCAGAACTCCGAAAAGTGAGACAAGATTTCGATCTCGATGGGTGACGATCCAGGTTTGACGTGACTGGGCATCTCAGATGCAGCAACGTCTTTATTGATAAGAATTAACGCATCGCACATGCCCAACTCTTGCAGAGATTTGCCTGCTTGGGTCTCGGTTGGAATCAACGGCCGACCTCTATAGTAAGCTTTGTAGCTCTCGAAGCCCGTCTCATCTCTGAGAGTAGCCAGCAGCGATGCGAGAGAGTTTTCTCGGCCTATCCGCAGTGGCTTGATTTCGCTATTGTTTTCGTCACCGAACGCCTGATACTGAAGTGTGGTCGGTTCGCCTTTTATCTCTGTGGCGCACTCCGGTACCAACGACCGAAGATCGGCAGCGGCATACCGAGGATTGGTGCGATATTCGTCCAAGAAATAATGGAGAAGTCTTAGTGTGCGCAAAAATCCACGCTTCTTCTTCACTATCTCGCGCTCAGGTTCAACCAAAACAGCCGAATCGTCATCTGCGTCATCGTTGATTGGAGCAGCTTGCACAGCACGTCTAGCTTCGCGCATGAGGTCAAGACATTGACGGACGAAATTGAGGTGAATGCTCTGAGCTCTGCTCACTGTGCAGGTCGCAATTGCTTTGCTCTCCAAATAAACCCCGGAAGCGAGTAAGACCATTGCAGACTTAGCAATGTTCTCCTCATGAGCGGCCAGGATGATTCGCCAAAGGTGCTCGATGCCACTCTTGGCGACAAGCTCCTCGTGATCGAGACTGAACTCTTCGCTTTGGTTGACTCGCATCATCACGTTCTCTTTGACAAAATTGAGCATTCCGTCACAATACCAGCTGGCAGCTAAATGGGGAAGATGCCTGGAAAAGCAAACTTGTAGGAACGGGTTTTGGAAGCCGCTGTTGTTTCCGACCGTAGATATCGTTTGCCAGGCCGCAATCCTGTCGGCAGCATTAAGAGCCTTGGAACCAACTAACACCTCCCAAAGTCTGGTGCCCAGCTCTTCGGTGATGGATTTGGGCTGGAAATGGATAATTTGAGAGATCAAGTCTCGACGAGCTTGGTTCGCGTGACCGGCCAATACGAGTAGAGATGGACCTGATGCGGCAATGATAGCATATTCCAATTCCTCCACCACGACTCGAACTATGTCGTGCTTCTCGGTGAGGTACTGAAGCTCACTAGATATGGCCGGTCGAATACATACAGACAGGAACCAAAGACTCCCGAGCGTTGTTGCCGAATCAGATGCCAGGTGGCTGACGCAATTTTGGTATAGCTGTTTTCGAACTTCAATTTCCAGGCCATAGTTGAGTAGATCTCGGGCTCGTTGCATTGCCGCCATGTGTAGATCGGGATATGCGTAATGTGCACCATTGTCGCAGGTTGGTATCTCTCTCAAGAGGCGCAAAATGGAAAGGAAGGGGTCCGCCGGGAGGGGTTGACTAGTTAGTTGCGCTTTAGACACCATTTCCCCAATTAAAGCTTCCCAAAGATTCCGAAGCAATGGTGTGAAATCCTTGAGCTTAACGTCATCAAACTTTTCGCATAGATGCACCAAATCGCTGTAGCGCAACACAGAAAGAACATTGTTGGTGACGCGTGTGATGGCGTCTGCCACTCGTGGGTCTTGGCTAGATTCAATGGAGCGCCAAAGTCGATCAAGTAGAGGTTCAGTGTTCGCATCTGATAGAACCAGAAATACGATAATATTGGTGCTGGCCACAATGATTTCGGGGTGACATGACGGGCCAACGATGTAGCCAATCAATTCATTGTCGACAACGTGACCCAAATGACGTAGAAACTGACGACCGTCGGCAGCAGCTTCTTCCTGTGTCCAAACTTCGGCCAAACAGCTGCACAGCATGTTAACGGCCATGACTCGGAGATGCATGAGCCCTGATTGAACGAGCTTGGCCAATATCCCAAGCCTCCATTCCCAGGGTGCAATTTTTTGCAACATCTCAGATGTTACTTCTGGGTGTTTCAGTCGATATGTTTGGAGCAAGTGGTCAATACCATCGGGTTCGTCCCTTTCAGCCTGTCTGTCTGATTGGCAAATGAAGGAGAATATATTGGCCAAGGCACAAAAAAAACGATTTGCCGTTTCGCTGCTGAGAACAGATATATTCTTCTCGATGATTGCAAAAAAAGCATCGGAAATCGCCAGCCAGGTTTCTCGAGTCTGTTGCACAACACCTACGGCGTATGATGAAGCAAGGCCCTCTGAGATTGCTTCACCCCTTCGGTAATCAGCCGCGACACAATCACTGAAAATACAAGCGACAAGAGTGAAATCGCGGAGTCGAAACTTTGGTGTGCTGGTAAACAGAGATAGGTCACAAGCAAAAGAGCTGATCCACTGCGTACTGTTGCCATGCGTCGCGATCAAAGGAGATAGAAGAAGTCTCGACATTTCGCTGCGTGTCCAAGGCGACGCATCATCTGTCGAGGCAGTAGCCGTAGTTTGTCGCTCTTCGATATAAAGTAGATCGTACCATATATGTAAGCATTCGATGGAGAAGAGGGCAAGTTCGTCTTCTGTCTCTGCGTCACTAGCGAGTGCTTGTTGAAGCGTCACATGGTCGAATCTGACGAGGGTGGCGGTAAGTAGCGAATAAAGCGACAATATGTTTCGAAGGGTGGCAAGTAGTGATTCGGTGCCATCCAGCTGAGATCTGTTCCAGTTAGCCTTCATTGTTTTCTTCAGTTGCAGACCGTGATATATGATACCTTGCCATTGTTAATGCAGTCATAATTGCTGGAAACGATAGCCAGAATTTCCTCTGTGATTGAAGTGCGAGCAAAACGGTCGGTCTCTCAGATGTTTGAAAGAACTTGATAGCCGACTGCTCCATCCATGTTGAGAGCATCTTGAGATTGGTATTGTCAATGCTGCGCTCTGTTTCCAGCTGTCAGCATCGAGATTTTGAGGCGCATTTGATGGGTGTTCTTGCCGTTGGACAGATATTGTGCGAACCGAATTACAGGCTCGTGTAGTTCATCCCTTTCTCGTCGAAACGGAAAGGATTCAGGAGGCGTGATGACTTCTTCTAGATCAGAAGACGACGTGTCGGCACATGACGGCACCATCGTGTCTCCGTACTGATCCGATGTGCCGTCTTGCTCCAACAATGGCGAATTGAATCCTGAACGTAGTAGGCATTTGCCTGGCTGTAATCTATCGTTGCGGTCGTCTTCCACCATTCGTCGCAAACTGAGCGTGAGCTGGCCGGAAGGATCAAGGGGGGTTGGCGAGTCTGCGGCCCCGGGCGTCTGAACTTCGTGGGTAAGATTGTCTGGGTCGGAAATGGCTTCTTGTAGAGCTCTGTTTCTATTGTTCTTGTCAATTATATCATTGGTATTATTGAACTCGGTAAAGTTATCAAAGGAGCCGTCTTGGACTGGCGACATGGAAGCCGATGCAGATGTGCGGCGGCGTTTGCGAGAAGAAGCGTCATCATCTTCGAAAGGGTTCGGCCGGGTTGTAGTCTCGGGCGGTGTCTGCAGATCGACGTCGCAACTGTGAACGGAGGCAGCGGATCGATCCATCGAGATGGCGTCTTGGCTGACAAAGCTCCAACCAAGTCACGGAGCCGTGAACGCCGTCTGTAGCGGCCGGCGACAGGAATTAACATGTGGGTTCTTGAAGTGCGGTAACGAGACTGAGAGAGAGGTTCCAGGAGCCCGAGCGAGAATTCTGGGGCCTGGATACCTGGAGAGGTGAGGGCAGGTGCAAGAAGAAGACTGACAGAGGCAAAGAAGATGAAGAAGATGAAGGCCGCCAATAGATTGTCAACGGATCGCGTTCGCCGGCAGCCAACCGTGCTGTGGGGGAGTTGACGAGGGGCAACTAGAGCTGTAGGTTGTAGGTAGTGTGGGCAGTGTAGTGGTGGCAGTGGGGTAAATGAAGGAAGTCTGAAGGCGACAGCGGCAACTTCTGTCCAATGTGCTTGGTCGAGATGGGTATCGAATAAAAACGCAATAATACTAAGCATCTGCGTTGGCTGTCCAAGCTGTCCGCATCAAGATAAAATTCCGAGGTGATGAGAGAGGTAGCCGGTACTGCAGGTCTGATCTGGTCTGGTCGCTGTGGTTTGGAGGGAGGGGCAGACCAAATACCAAATGCGAAGATTGTAGATTCTGACCGTATGCAACCCGCAAAGTCGTGTAACCAAGTCGGCACGTATTTCGGAGAGATTGTTAATGACGGAAGCACTTGTTTAAGTTTTCTACAGCGGGCGCATCCAGTTGCACCAAAATAACACGGACACAGTGCCTTGCACTAGGTACCTGCCAATGCCTAAGGTACCTTACGTACGTGCCTTCCGTAACCTAGCTAAAACAT